GTTTGGGAGGGACACATGCCAGAGGCTACCACATGTTCACAGTGCACACAACAGAGACATGCACCTGGGATCTGGTAGGAGAGCCAGCATATGAAGAAAATACGAATAATTAGGGTGAAAGAATAAAGGGAAGGAAAACTGAATGAGGAAAGGGCAGTCCAGGAAATCCCGATGTCTGTATAGACATAGGATATGAAACATGACTGCTCATACGCCTCAGCTCGAGCAGGGTCCATGAAAAAGCATTAGTACTAAACTGCCTCTCTCCTCACTAGTCTCACCTGCCCGACTAGGGAAGGAAGTGAATCTAACAATTCACTAGCAGATCTCTGGGAAATAGGGTCAAGAGGGAAATCATGCAGAAAGGCAAGGAGGGGTGGGAGAGATATATGGGTGCTATGGTGGCTGTCAGGAAAGGAGTGTCCCTGAAAGGACGGCCAACCTTATTGCACCCTTCAGCGTCCGGAGCTGGGCAACCATGTCCGAGAGACAGTGCTCCTGAAAATTCAAAACAGCAAAGTCTTTATAAAAGCCAGCCAGCCTGAAAGCAGGGATGGGGGGGGCGGGGAGGCACAAAGAACCAACCCTTCTTCCCAAGAGAAAAGAGGAAGGAATGATCCCTGAATCCCAAAAGAAAGGAGACAGGAAAACCAGACACTCAAGAGGAGCAGCTTATGAAGATGGCACACGACTATTATGTGACAGCAAATGTGTCATTCCCACTGCCCAGAAGCCAGATCTGGAAAATAAGTGACGTGACTCTTCTGTTTAAGTGATCTGAACATCAACAGCAGAAGAGCAACACAAAATCCACAGATCCAATCCAAAGAAGAGAGAGTGAGAAGAAGTCCTCCGCAATGCGTTCTTCAACCTGAACCTGTGTTGGGGAAAACAGTGTGAGAAGACTAAGACATGGACCTGTGTCTCACCTGGTGCTTGTCACTTTCCACAGCCTTCTGCTTCTTCTCAACAGTTTCTTCTCTAGAAGAGAAAAGTTCTGTTTAGATTCTGGAGGCCAATGTAGGAGGATTGTAAGCTCAAAGCCAGCCTGGTCTACAGAGTCAGGTCAGTCTAAGCTACATACCGAGACTGTCTCAAAATTAGGTGTTATTTAGTTCACTCATGAAGTTCAGAGAAATTAGGGCTATATTTCTGAATTATATGACTGGAGAGATTTCAAATTCTCATTCATAATCTCTCTCTCTCTCTCTCTCTCTCTCTCTCTCTCTCTGTGTGTGTGTGTGTGTGTGTGTGTGTGTGTG